CCCCCAAAATCCCCCTAAAATCCTCCAAACCCCCAAAAATCTGCTCAATATACCCCAGAATCTGCTCAATATGCCCCCAAAACTCCCCAAAGTCCTCTCAATATACCCCGAAAATCCCCCTAAAACCCTCCAAAGCCCCCAAAATCTGCTCAATATCCCCTGGGAGCCCCAGGACCCACCCTGGGGATGGATTTCGGATCCCAGGGATGGATTTTGGGGTCCCTGGGGATGGATTTTGGGGTTCTGGGATGGATTTTGGGGTCCCAGGGGTGGATTTTGGGACTCTGGGATGGATTTGGGATCTCGGGATGGATTTTGGGGTCCTAGGGATGGATTTTGGGACCCTGGGGATGGATTTTGGCATCCCAGGGATGGATTTTGGGACGCTGGGGATGGATTTCGGATCCCAGGGATGGATTTTGGGACCCTGGGGATGGATTTTGGGGTTCCAGGGATGGATTTTGGGGTCCCAGGGATGGATTTTGGGGTCCCTGGGATGGATTTTGGGTCCCTGACCCCCAAACCCCCCCAGAGCTGCCGGTGCAGATCCTGACGCCGAACTCGTCGCTCTACGCCGTGGTGGAGAACCAGACAGCGTTCCTGCACTGCCGGGCCTTCGGGGCCCCCGCGCCCACCGTGGAGTGGTGAGAGCCCCCAGACCCAAAACAGCCCCACATCTGATCAAATCCCGCCCCAAAACCCCCCAAAATCTGCTCACAGAGCTGCCGGACTCGGGGCGCCGCACGCTGCGGGACGGGGCGCTGATCCTGTCCCGCCTGGAGCCCAACGACTCGGCGGTGGCGCAGTGCGAGGCCAGCAACAGCCACGGGCGGCTCCTGGCCAACGCCTTCGTCTACGTCGTGGGTGAGTCACCCCAAAGCCCCCCGGGACCCCCCAAAACCCCCCAAAACCCCCTAGGACCCCCCAGAATCTGCTCAATGTCCCCCCAAAATCCCCCTAAAATCCTCCAAACCCCCAAAAATCTGCTCAATATACCCCAGAATCTGCTCAATATGCCCCCAAAACTCCCCAAAGTCCTCTCAATATACCCCGAAAATCCCCCTAAAACCCTCCAAAGCCCCCAAAATCTGCTCAATATCCCCTGGGAGCCCCAGGACCCACCCTGGGGATGGATTTCGGATCCCAGGGATGGATTTTGGGGTCCCTGGGGATGGATTTTGGGGTTCTGGGATGGATTTTGGGGTCCCAGGGGTGGATTTTGGGACTCTGGGATGGATTTGGGATCCCGGGATGGATTTTGGCGTCCCAGGGTTGGATTTTGGGACACTGGGGATGGATTTCAGATCCCAGGGATGGATTTTGGGATCCTGGGGATGGATTTTGGGGTTCCAGGGATGGATTTTGGGGTCCCAGGGATGGATTTTGGGATGCTGGGGATGGATTTTGGCGTCAGGTGTAACTGGACAAATATCGGTTTGATTCGGGGTTTGGTTCCAGGGATGGATTTTGGGGTCCCAGGGATGGATTTTGGGGTCCCTGGGATGGATTTTGGGTCCCTGACCCCCAAACCCCCCCAGAGCTGCCGGTGCAGATCCTGACGCCGAACTCGTCGCTCTACGCCGTGGTGGAGAACCAGACAGCGTTCCTGCACTGCCGGGCCTTCGGGGCCCCCGCGCCCACCGTGGAGTGGTGAGAGCCCCCAGACCCAAAACAGCCCCACATCTGATCAAATCCCGCCCCAAAACCCCCCAAAATCTGCTCAGGACCCCCTAAAAACCCCTGAAATCTGATCAAAACCCATCCCAGGACATGCCAGAACCCCCCAAAATCTGCTCAATCTCCCATCCAGGAACCCCGAAATCCCCCCAAAATCCCCTCAGATCCCTGAGAAACCCCAAACCCCTCTGCTCACTGTGCCCCCCCGAACCTGGCCTGGGATCCCTGGGACCCCCCTGAACCTGGCCCAGGACCCCCGGGACCCCCTGAGCCCGGCCCGGGACCCCCGGGATCCCCTGAACCTGGCCCGGGACCCCCCCCTGAACCCAGCCTGGGATCCCTGGGACCCCCCTGAACCTGGCCCCGGATCCCTGGGACCCCACCCTGAGCCCAGCCCGAGACCCCCTGAGTCCAGCTTGGGACCCCCACGACCCCCTGAACCCAGCCCGGGACCCCTGTGACCCTCTGAGCTCAGCCCAGGACTCCTGGGACCCCCTGAGCCCAGCCCGGGACCCCCAGAACCCCCCCTGAGTCCAGCCCGGGACCCCCAGGACCCCCGAGTCCGGCCCGGGACCCCCTGAGTCCAGCCTGGGACCACCCCTGAGCCTGGTCCGGGACCCCCGGGACCCCCTGGACCCGGCCCGTGACCCCCGAGTCCAGCCCGGGACCCCTGGGATACCCCCTAAGCCTGGCCCGGGCCCCCTGAGTCCAGTCTGGGACCCCCGAGCTCAGCCCAAGATTTCCTGAGCCCAACCGAGGTCCCCGCCTGGGACCCCCAGGACCCCCTGAGCCCGGCCTGGGACCCCCGGGACCCCCTGAGCCTGGCCTGGGATCCCTGGGACTCCCCTGAACCCAGCCCAGAACCCCCGGGACCCCCCCGAACCCAGCCTGGGACCCCCAGGACCCCCTGAACCCGGCCTGGGATCCCTGGGACCCCCCTGAACCCAGCCCGGGACCCCCGGGACCCCCCCGAACCCAGCCTGGGACCCCCAGGACCCCCTGAACCTGGCCTGGGATCCCTGGGACCCCCCTGAACCTGGCCCAGGACCCCCAGGACCCCCTGGACCCGGCCCGTGAACCCCAAGTCCAGCCCGGGACCCCTGGGATACCCCCTAAGCCTGGCCTGGGACCCCTGAGTCCAGTCTGGGACCCCCGAGCTCAGCCCAAGATTTCCTGAGCCCAACCGAGGTCCCCCCAAACTCTTCCTGGGACCCCCAAATCCTCCCCAAACCCTTCTTGGGACCCCCAAATTCCCCCTAGATCTTCCCCAAAAAATTCTGGGACCCCCAAATTCCCCCCAAACTCTTCCTGGGACCCCCAAATCCTCCCCAAACCCTTCTTGGGACCCCCAAATTCCCCCTAGATCTTCCCCAAAAAATTCTGGGACCCCCAAATTCCCCCCAAACTCTTCCTGGGACCCCCAAATCCTCCCCAAACCCTTCTTGGGACCCCCAAATTCCCCCTAGATCTTCCCCAAAAAATTCTGGGACCCCCAAATTCCCCCCAAACTCTTCCTGGGACCCCCAAATCCTCCCCAAACCCTTCTTGGGACCCCCAAATTCCCCCTAGATCTTCCCCAAAAAATTCTGGGACCCCCAAATTCCCCCCAAACTCTTCCTGGGACCCCCAAATCCTCCCCAAACCCTTCTTGGGACCCCCAAATTCCCCCTAGATCTTCCCCAAAAAATTCTGGGACCCCCAAATTCCCCCCAAACTCTTCCTGGGACCC